GTCCGCTATCTCTCGAAAACGCATTTTGTACGAGACTTCCTTCCAAAATGCATGTTGAAGAGCTGACTGGAACTAGAGCGAACTAGAGCTAGAGCTGTTGAAACTTAGCTAGCTTCGAGATATGTGAAATCTATGATCTCTGTAGTGGTGTCACGCGTATGCGCGGGCATAGGTACGACACTAGCACAGGAACAGGTGCGGTAATGTTGGCGCATGGGACGGTACATGGTGCAGGATGTTGGCGCGTGGAAGCGTACATGGCGCGCAAATGGTACGGCGCATAGTACGCATTTGGGGTGCGTGCGCCTGGTACGGGCGCAAAACAGCTTTGGTACGTGGTACGCATTTGGGGTGCGTGCGCCTGGTACGGGCGCAAAACAGCTTTGGTACGGGTACGCGGCGGAGGGGCGTTTTTGTGTACAGTTTAGGACCGAGGACCGTTGGGGGTTTAAGTTTAAGAACAACATGATTCATCCACTGGACTGGAGCTGGCACACGCTACAAGATCCATACATGCAAACACAAGGGTGCGTTGATGGCAGTAAAGGGGATTGATGGGAGACGATGGGAGATCAAAACTAGAGACGAAGGAGATTGATTTCATATCAAGTCGGACTGTATGAGCAACGGTCACGGCCGGTAGGTTGCAATTGTTGGAGGTGGTCAAATGTTGGTAACTCCAGGTTCCATTTGTCGATAGCTTTGCTTTGTGAGAGCAGCGTAGTGTATCCAGTCTCAAATGTCAAATGCAACAGCCTGGCAGTATTGGAAAGCTGGTTGGGAAGGTATGCTGCAAGAGAGATGTTGGCATTCCTAACCTATGAAAACAAAGTTTCGCTGTATTCATTGGTAGCTTCGCAAATAACAACATGGTTGTTGCATAGATAGTCTTACTGAGGCAGCATATTGTGCGCTACAAAACTTTACAAAACATTTTTTCTTCATTCTGTAGTTGCTGACCTGATGCCTAGCCTGGCGCTTGTTCTTTCACGGTCAGTGAAGAGACATGGAACGCATTTTGCCCGTGGGGGATCACGGCCCGCTGACGAGAAGCAAAGAATGGCTCTTGTACGTGAAGGCATGGTGTTTTTTTGATTCGACTTTGACTGAGTTCGCACGTCCTCCACCATGGCGTGGAAATCAAAGCGGTCTTGTGTCAGCTAGGGCCAGGGACTTATACAAACAACTCGTTAATCGAAAGAAACAGCCTTTACTTTTTGGTTCACACACTGAGTAGGTCCGAGAAGGCTACTTTACTATGCTCTGAAACTGAGCCTGAAACAAATACATGGAAATCCGTACTAAAGTATTTATGTTAAAGTTTAAGGCCACAGGCGCTGAGGAGTTGTAACTTCCAACTTGCGTGAGGCAAAACAAAGAAGCGTTTACGCAGCGACTTCACCAAGAAGTTTGCCAAAGTCAGGACATTCCGCACTGACATGAACGGACATGTGTCTACTTCGAGTCTTTTCAATCCAATGTTATTTATTTATCTTAGTTTGTCTTAGTGATGTTTGCTTTTTAGTTTCGAGTTCATGATTCATGACCATTCCTCTCAGTTGTTGATAAATCATAAGTCGGTGAAGCTGGGTTGAACTGCAGGAAGCAGATTTGCAAGTACAACAAGAACCACGTGGTACAGAAGAGAGATTTGATACAGGTCGAAGGCGACAAGCTTCTGACCCTGAAGGTTCGTGGACGAGGCTTGGACATGGAATGACATTGCTGCTGAGGTGAAAGGTTCGCTTTGCATACTGAGTGGGTGGGACAGGTCAGTATCGTTCCTGGACTTCAGCTGCTATTCTTAGAGTCTCGTGGGAGACTCACAATTCTCTGCAGCTGCCATTATTCTCAACATTTCCCTGCGATCCTGCAAACTGTTTTGTGCTGAGGCTGGGCAGGTCAGTCGCTGTCATGATGGAGGAGAGAGTTGTCAAGAAGGCCAAGGCCACCGACGAGGGACGGAGAAAACTTCCAAATCTCAAATCCAAGTCTCCAACAATGTGGAAACCCCAGTTTTGTGGAAATGTTCAACTTGTCAAGTGTCAGTGTCAAGTGTCAACTACTAAAGTATGCTTCTTTTTGTTGAAGTGTTTAAGAAACAAAACCTTGTTTGCCTAGGTTTTCCCTCAATTCCATCTCCTATTGGCTGGGCTGCCACCAAACGACTGTGTCAAAGGCAGTTCTCTGCAACTTTTAGGGCATTGCATTGTCAAATGTCATTTCCATAACTTGTACAATAGTGCTGTTGATCTGCCGTTTGAGTCAGGCTCAACGATCCGTCTGCAACATCTATTTGGCGAACCAAAAGAACACGGTGCTGAATATGTTAAACTGCCGAGAGGAGAGTCGTGAAGTTGTCAGTTCAGATTCTTTTACTCAGCTTCAAAAGCGACACACAAGCCTTGCAGTTTGCTTAGCATCGTCTTGCAAAAGTGCAAAAGCATAGTTTGCGTCAGGCTCCTGTGATGGGCCTTCATATCGAATTCGATGAAACCGCGCAAAAGATGAGGGTCCGATCGGATTTGTGTTCCACCACAACCAACATGGCAGTTTTGGCCTGGGCCTTGGCCATGGTTGTGGCAGCTTTAGCTGTCATTGTGAGTCCCGCTGTCAGATGTCAAGGCATCCCG